TTAAGGGCTCTGAGCGCAAAGGTGATCATGGCATACAGACGACATCCCAGAACCTCCAGTTCCTTTCCCTCTTTGTTAGTAGGGGTTGGATGTCCCTTAGTAGGTAGTCTAGTTGCACTGGACTCAACTACAAGTGAGTTGGGTGCAGGGTGTTTTAACAGGAAGGCAGTTTTTGGTCCATGCACATGGTACATGTTCTCTGTTCTCCGCGACATGGAAGCGGAGTTTGCAGGGTGTTCCCAATACTCCATGATGAGATCCATGAGCTCAGGGACATATGACAAGCTGACAGGGTGAGACCGTTCCTTATTGATGTCTCCAAAGATTAGGTCGTCCTCCCGAGCAGGTGATTTCTCTGTCTCCATTCTTAATGTAGTAGCCATCCTGGAGACCATCCGAAAAATCCTCAGATGGAGAGGAAGGATGGATGTCCGCAGCATCCAATCCCAAGGGCTCCCCTGGAAGGGGCGTCTCCAGGGAAGCCTCAGAAGAAACTTCTTCGTGATCAGAGGTTTGAAGGGTTTGGCTTTCCTCATCTTTTCTTCGTGATCAGAGGAGGTTTGAAGGGTTTGGCTTTCCTCATCTGAAGACTGAAGAATGCTCGGTTGCTGAGTTTTATTCTTGGGTGCAGTAGACTTATGATGAATCGGCAAGGGAGCAGGCTGTGGAGGCACAGGAGGAGTAACAGGCTTAGATGCTGTAGTCTTAGTAGGACCTTTGTCAGTCGACGTCGACGGGGCACTCCCGTCAGCACCGGAACGCTTGTGGTGACGATGCTTCTTTGGAGGGGAGATGGAGGAGGACGATGATGTATAACGTGCCCTCTTTCTTCACCTCCTTCAATTCCTAGATGTCGAGGAGGACTCAGATGAATAGTCTCTCCTTCGACGTCGTCGGCGAGATCTCCTCCTGTAGAAGCTGTCATCTGAGTCGGAGGACAATAGTCCCGACGGTGATGTTTTCTATGTTTGTCGACACCGGAGCCATGCTTGCGCTTATGATGGCGCCGAGTTTTCTTTACTGGAAGTTCCTCATCCTGATCCGACACCGGATGTCGAGGAGAGGGAACCTCAACAGGCTTCTCAGGTCTCCATGGTGGAGTGGGAGGAGACTTGGAGCCAACAGATCCCGGCGTCAACGATCGGGATCTAGACGCCCGCCCTGTTAGAATAGGGCTATCAGGGGCATTAGCTACACCAGCAATCACTCGAGCCAGCTGGCTAGCTGTAGGAGACCTCTCGACAATGACCAGAGGTTCCTGTCTGGGAGGGATAGAAGCACCCATCTCAGAGGTCGAATCGCGGTTGCGGGATGAATCTTCAAGTATCGGAGATGGCAGGGATGTCAGCACCGGCGGAACTATAAGAGTAAGTTCCTTTGACTTCGACTTAGGTTTAACCGAGGACGACTTCTGTTTCAGATGCTGTGTCGGTGGATTGGAGGAACCATCGGAGGAAACAATCGGCACCGACTGTGATGATTTGTGTTTTTATGAGATGCTAGAATGGGTTTTGTAGTCATAATATTGTCTTGACAGCATCCATCTTGATTTAAAGTCTGCTCTGTAGTAGGAAAGTTTTTCATGCTGTTTCAGAGAAGCTTCACTCTCTGGTTATCTCGTTACTAAGATGAGTAGAGAGCAGAGACTTTCATAGTCAAAATAATTCTGCCACAAAACATGATAACAACTCTCAAGCTCCCATGAGAAAGTTAGGCGGGACAACAAGACCCAGGAGGGGGTGTTCCTTTTGAAGCATTCCGGGAAGAAGAAGGAAGTTGGGAAAAAGATGGAGTTTGACTGAGAAAGGTCAGACATGTGCTTTTTCCCAAAATGGATTATATCTTTGGTATGGATGAATTTAGAATTGCATGCATTGGTTTATTGAACAGACTAGTCTTTCTGATTTGGCCATGTGTATTTGCTACCTGATATAGAGCCCAGATTAACCTGAGTTTAAACTCATTGATTTGTCTGTGTGTGTTGCTTTCCTTAATAAAGGAGGGGGATTTGAGGAAGAAGTGTTAGCCAGGGCCTAGCTGAGAGTCTTGGGCTCATCTTAGCTCCTAAAGGGACTGACTAAACTTTGGAATCTCTCCATTCTCCAGCATCCCCGGTATCTCCTTGGAGGTGGGGGATTGCTTACACCGACGTCCCGGTAAGGGTCTTTTTACTAGACGGCTTTTTCTTAGACTTTTCTTTAGGTTTGTCCTTTTCAGGGGCCAAAGAAGAAACCACTCTAACTTCGGAACGAACGGAAGAGGTTGAAGGGATAGACTCCATTTCCGAAGGCTGAGAAGCAGACAGAGTCTGTTTCCACAGGGAATATTTTAAACGCTGCTGGCGCGCTTTAAGAGTGACTTTAGTAAACTGTCGGCAATGTTTACAGTGTGTTACTGAGTACGCCTGTCCTAAACAAAACAAAGGGAATGTCCGTCCTGAAAAGGAAGCTTTCTTGAGCAGGAAGAACAAAGGCGAAAAGGTCCTCTCTTAGGAGACGGCTTTCTCTTAGGAGGCATATGCTGATTGAGGTGGAAATGGCAGTAATTGAAAAGGTCCGGCAGGCGCGTGGTGCCTCAGCGGGTGGTAAATGGGCCCAATTAAGCAGTTAAGTACTTGCGAAGTTGCCAGAGGCAAAAGGAGAGTCGAAGAACAGTCCAGGGTCAGGGCAACGGTAGTGAGAAAGATCGATATGACAGTCTGAAGTCTGAAATAAAGGAAAAACGGGGAAAAATCTCAGAGCTCTAACCAAGAGGTTCCAACTCCGTGGGCGGAAAAATGGAACTGAGCCGTTGGCGGGCGGAGCATGCGCTGTACAGGGCAACCTTAAACTTTGTTACTTTAATCTTTAGCTCTAGAAGATTCCGAGAGGCCAGCGCAGGCGCTGTCTTTACCCACTGGTGTGGATTCATAGAGAACCACGTTGAAGAAATAAAAGTTCTCTCATTCGTTGTACCTGAGGGTAACTCACTGTAGAGCTTACCCCCATGATACAAACTTTTCCAAGGGGGGAGGTATGTGACGGGCAGGTCAGAAACCACACCTGTCCATCACAATGGAACACTGATTTTGCAACCAATGGTTGAGCAGGAGGGTGGAACCAAGGGAATATAAGAAGAGAAGGGAGGACAGTTAAAAGTCAGTTAGAGCACTGGTTCTTAACCTTGGATTACTCAGGAGTTTTGGACTGCAACTCCCAGAAGCCTTCACCACCAGCTGTCCTGACTGGGGTTTCTGGGAGTTGCAGTTCAAAAGCATCCGAGTAACAAAGGTTAAGAACCACTGAGTTAGAGTTAGGATTTCAGTTAGTCAGGAGTTAGAGAAAGAGTTAGATAGTCAAAGTTAGAAGTTAGAATAGTAACAAGTAAATACACAAGCTGGTTAAATGGCAAATAAGTAAACCAAATAAGACATTTCAATGATTGTGATTCTGGGTAAATAAAGAAAGAACAGCTGTAACTTTAATAAAAACTTTCAATTGTTGGCAGCCAGCGTTTGAGTAAAATAATTTACATTGTGGATAAAAGAAATCCACTGGTGGCAGCGAAAAAGTGTGAAAATTAAATGTCATGCCCAAAAGGGAACCTGGGTGTATAGAAGAACAAACAGGGGAACTGGGGTTGTGTGACACTCAGGCACTCCCATTTCTTTAGTAACTTGCCATAGTTTGTTGTGGTCCACACAGTCAAAGGATATTGTGTAGTCAATGAAGCAGAAGTTGATGTTTTCCTGGAACTCTCTGGCTTTCTCCATAATTCAACGCATGTTAGCAATTTGATCTCTAGTTCCTCTGCCCCTTCGAAACCCAGCTTGTACTTCTGGGAGTTCTTGGTCCACATACTGCTGAAGCCTACCTTGTAGGATTTTGGGCATAACCACCTTGGAGGATTTTGAGCATAACCTTGCTAGCATGTGAAATGAGTGCAATTGTATGGTAGTTGGAGCATTCTTTGGCAATGCCCTTCTTTGGGATTGGGATGTAGACTGATCTTTTCCAATCCTCTGGCCACTGCTGAGTTTTCCAAACTTGCTGGCATATTGAATGTAGCACCTAAACAGTGTCATCTTTTAAAATTTTAAGTAGTTCAACTGAAATGTCAACACCTCCACTGGCCTTGTGGTTAGCCATGGTTTCTAAGGCCCATTTGACTTCGCTCTCCAGGATATCTGGCTCAGGTCAGCAACCACACTATCTGGGTTGTCCAGGACATTCAGATTTTTCTGGTATGATTCCTCTGTGTATTCTTGCTGCCTCTTCTTGATGTCTTCTGCTTCTGTTAGGTCACTACCATTTTTGGCCTTTATCATGTCCATCTTTGCACAAAAGGTTCCTTTAATATGTCCAATTTTCTTGAAGAGGTCTCTGATTTTTTCCCTTTCTATTATTTTCCTCTATATCTCTGCACTGTTCATTTAAGAAGGCCCTCTTGTCTCTCCTCGATATTCTTTGGAAGTCAGTATTCCATTTTTTGTAACCTTCCCTATCTCCCTTGCATTTGGTTTCCCTTCTCTTCTCTGCTATTTGTAAGACCTCGTTCGATAGCCATTTTGCTTTCTTGCATTTCCTTTTCTTTGGGATGGTTTTTGTTGCTGTTCATGAAATCAGACGTCTGATCATCTTTTTCTTCTTTGACATATTGCAGCCTCTTTTTCCAGTCTAGTAAATGCCTACATTTTGATTTCCAAGTCACATGCTGAGATCATGGAAAATGTTTCCTTATCTATATGGCTACTTTCTTACTGAATATCACCATTGTTCGATATTTTCACATATGACATGAGCAAAAATTCAGGAAACATATTAAACTTTCACCACTGATCCCTTTGGCAGGTGTAAGCCAAATGACAGCCCACTAGAAAAAGTAAGAGTCTTTCTAATTGGTCTCAATACAGGCAAAATTTACAAAATTTAATTACTGGGTTAAATATTATTCATCTAAAAAAAAAAACTTTAACATAACCAACCAAACAAAGCAAAACATAATTCTGTTTTAACACAAACCTCTACTTGCTTTGTCTAAGTGCTGCAGGTCATCAACAAAGCTCAGCAGAGTAGGATAATTGTTTTCACATATTTCAACCAGAAAATGAAGCAAGGTTGTCTTCTGATCAGCTGATTTGGTATCCTTTAACTAGAAATTAATAAATAAATAATCAAAAGTATTAATATATTTCAGCTGTTTCTTCTATTAATTCTATAGTACAGAAACAGGAATAATTAATTTTTCTTGCATGATACATTAACATTATAAGGGACTGAAAAAAATTATAAATTAGAAACTTTATTATTTATTTATGTATTTTAAATTTTTACCCTACCTTTCTCCATAAAAGAACTCAAGGCAGCTTACACCATTAAAAGAGACAATACATTATTGTTATATTATTATATTAAGCATATAATTAAAACAAATTATAACAAAAACGGCATCATCCCATTTTTAAAACCCATTAGACAGCTAGTCATTAAGCAAAAGCCTGCCTGAAGAGAAAGGTCACCACCTACTTGCAGGAGGACAGCAAAAATGGGGGCAACCTGGCCTCATGTGAGAGGAAGTTCCAGGGTCTGGAGGCAGGGATAGAGAAGGCCTATCCTGTGTCCCCACCAAATGCACCTCTGAGAAAGACCTCCCCGATGATCTTAAACCTCATGCAGACTCATAAAGAGAAATGCAGAATTTAGGATAGATTTGATCCAAGCCATTTAAAGCTTTATATTTTCAAACCAGCACGTTGAGTTATGCCTGGAAACAGACTGGCAGCCAGTGGAGCTGCTATAATAGGAGGGCTAAGTGATCCCTGTAACCAACCCAGTTAACAATTTGGCAGCAGCATTTTAGTCTTGTTGAAGTTTTCAGGAATCCAGTATTATAGTAATCTAGCCAAGATGTAACTAAAGCATGCATCTCTATGGACAGATCAGTCCTATCAAGGAATGGATACAGCTGGTGCACTAGTTCTAACTGTATAAAGGCACTCCTGGCCACCACTGAAACCTTTGCTTCTAGGCTCAGAGACAAATCCAGAAGCACACCCAAGCTGTACACTTGTATTTTCAGAGGGAGTGTAACCTCATCTAGCACTTGATAATTTTAAACTTCAAATTTGATTTCCACGTCCAAATGTCTCTTCCTAACTCAGCATTAGGATGACCATCAAATTCAAATCCAGGGGTTGATCTACAGCAATGCTTCCCAACCTTGGGTCCCCAGATGTTCTTGAATTAAAACTCCCAGAAGCCTTCACCACTAGCTGTGCTAGCTAGGATTTTTGGGAGTTGTAGTCCAGGAACATTTGGGGACCCAAGGTTGGGAAGCACCGATGTACTGGAACATGGTACAGCAACCTTGCTGCAGTTAAGCAGAATGAGATCTAGTCCATGCCTCTATAGAAGCCTTCCTTAGAGCCCAATGTGTCTTAATTTGAGTACTATCAGAGATGAAAGACTATATATATATATATAAAACACACAACTAAAGTTGAAATTTCAAAATCAGAACCTACTTTTGATATCTGAAGTCAGCTATTTCATACCTATTCTGAGGATGCTTCCCAACCAACTGAATGAATGAATGAAAGTGGTTAAGTAAGACAGTGTATCACCACTCTCATACCAGGGGGGAAAAGTGATTTCAAGCAGGGATGTCTGATATAAAATATTATCCATTGTACCTATCAAGTGATTACTGGGAGAATAGCCAGCTTTAGTAATGGAAGATATAGTAAAAGCCAATCAATTTCAATTCTAACAGATTTTATTTTGTGTTTTGCAAGACTAAAATACCTACAGAATTTGGTCTGATACTTGCCTCTGCTGAACAGCATTCACTTAATATTGCTTTTCAGTTTTGTGACATACTAAGGAAGCCAACAGTAACACTGTATTACATTCATTCTCCCTACTACAAATAATGCAAAATGTTATCTTTCAAAACAAAGCATACTATAATCTCAGAAAAGAATGTACTTACTGTATCTACTCAATACTGCAAAGCCTACTTTTCTTTAGCTCAAAGGAAGGGTCGTTCAAAGTGTGTATGTATATACATGTTTAAGCATAATTCCCAGTGTAGTGTTCTGGATAGAGTGACAGATTTGGACTCTGGAGAACAAGGCTTGGATCCCCACCAGGCTATGGAAACTCACTGGGGAAGTGGAACTGGTAAAACCACTCCTTATACTTTCCTTTATAGTCCTATTAGGGTTGCTATAAGCCATTTCTGACTTGATGACACAGAACACACAAGCACAAATTGTTTAAAAAGTTAAGTGTCAAAAAGCAGAAGTAAAAAACAGAATGAAACATCTCAAAAGGACGTGACTGTAGCAATGAGCTCAGCATTGACAATCCTCAAAAACACTCACCTTACATAAGGAAGAGAGGTTAAATCCAAAAGTATGTGCATTTCGAGATCCTGCATTCATATAGTTTCCCATTAGTAACACTAACTCAAGAAGCTGACTGAAATTCCTGCTCTTCTTTATCTCTTCACATGAAACACTGACAGCCATGATGTCATGTTTGATGCTATTCACCTGTTCCTCAAATTGAAGCTTAAAAAGAATTGCACTCAACCGTGACTTCAGCCTCTTCACGTTGCTCATCTGAAAAGAAAAAGGCTGTCAAAAATCTGTGTTATGGTTAGCATGGAATAAATTAATATAATCTTGCATTATTTATAGGTATGACAGATTTGAAGTAATAACCATATGCCTATATTTTTTGGAGGAGGTAGCCATGTTAGTCTGTGCAAACATATCAGGCAAAATCCAGAGAAAAAAAACAAAAAAGGATGTGGCTGTGATGAGATGGGATTTTGAGTTAAAATCTTTTAAAGCATATGGGTTTTGTAATTAAGAAATGAGCCAGAGAGGTTCCATCTTGTTTCTTTGTATAAAGTATCTTTGCTATGCTGACAAGTTGTTTTCTAGGCGAGCAAAGAGAATGTTATTCTGACAGCCTGAGAAAAGAACTCGGTGTGATTAGATGGGAATTGTTGTGACTCTTTGCAAAACCACAGTTAACTCAAATAACATCTGCTGTGGATGGGAAAGAAGTCATGTGATGCACTAAACATTAATCGGCTCTTGGGTATGGTACATCTACATGCAGTAATATAGAGGCCTATAATTTATGGCCTATACAGGCACAAAATTATTATTTCAAATCAGCCATACCTATAGGCCATAAATTACTGCATCTAGCTTGTTTTTTTTCATTTTGTTTCTTTGAATTTTGCCTGAAATCCTTATGCTAATATGTAATAAGGAAACAGATAAATGAGAAACACTTGTGCAAGCAACTAAAGTCCAATTGTGAGCACTATTAGGAATCACTGCATTCATTAAGCAAATTGAATACATTAACAGTGTCATATACAGTGGTGCCTCGCATTACGACGTTAATTCGTACCAGCAAAATCACTGTAGAACGAAAACGTTGTAATGTGAAAAGAAAAACCCATTGAAACGCATTAAAACCCATTTAATGCGTTCCAAAGGGCTGTAAACTCACCATCCAGCGAAGATCCTCCATAGGGCGGCCATTTTTGCTGCCTGTGCAGTGAAGAATCTGTCCCAGAAAACAGCGGGGGCCATTTTGTTTACCCGGCAGCCATTTTGAAAGCGCCAATCAGCTGTTGGAAAATCGTCGTTTTGCAAAGAATCTGTTCCCAAAGCAGGGAACCGATCATCGCAAAGCAAAATTTCCCCATAGGAAACATCATTTTGCGATCGCAGAAAGTTCATCGTAATGCGGTTTCGTCGTTAAATGGGGCAATCGTAAAGTGAGGCACCACTGTATTAAGTTTAAACTAAATTTCATAAAAAATAACTTTAGCATGGCCGAACACTGGAAAATGATGGCTAACTTGGTTTTTTTGTTGCAGCTAAACTATGTGTATTTTGAGGCAACTCTTATATGAATGTTTATTATAAATAGAAACCCAGTAAATAATCATAAATAGTAACCAATGTAGCCTATCATTCAATGTTTACTTCGAGAGATTGTGTGTGTGGGGGGGGAGCATTTTGAACCAACACATGTCATTTTGTTGTTTATGTGTTCTCAGTAAATTATGGGATCAGTTTGTAATGCAAGACCTCTGATTCTCAAGGTTTGGGCCTACAACTCCAGTAAATGTCACCAGCATGCCAAATAGTAAAGAATTGTGTAAGTTGTAGTTCAAAACTTCTGATGGGATAAAAAACCTACCCGTGTTTTATAATATTACACATTATCTTCAACAGTCACTGTTACTGTTTTAGGAATTACTTCAATGTTAAGGCCTATTATATCAGTGGGACAATAAAAGTAGTCTACAGCTACATTATTGAGGTCTAAACATAAGTACTACAGGTAACAAGCACTTTTGAAAGTTATTTCAAATAATTATAGCCAGTGCTAATTTTGAGGCTTGTTCAAACTATTGGGTCAGTCCTTTTAATTTATGGAAAGGATGCCAGAGCTGTATTGTATAACAAGCTGAATTCCTATAAAGTACTCGGGATGGCAAATATATATATAAAACTTTTTTAAAACTACAAGAATCAGTGCCAAAATAAAATTGCAAAACAAGAACAAAAACAAGCAGAATAAATAAGAGCAGTAAATTTCAAAAGAAGAAAACTAAAAAATCCCCATGAAAAACATAAGTCTCTCTCTCTCTATCACACACACACACACACACACAGAGAGAGAGAGAGAGAGAGAGAGAGAGAGAGCAAGTTGAATGTTTAAATACAGAAGCAAAACTCCTAAAATGCATTAGCATTATCCTGGGCTACTCTACTTCTGACAAAGGCATATTCTTAAAACATGGCAAGAGTCCAAATACAGTTGGGCCATGAGATGTGTGAGGAATTGATTCCAAGCCCCCCTCTCGGATGCCAAAACCACGGATAAAGCAAACTTTACATATGGCCTAGTCTCTGGTTCCCTCCAGTGCCAGTTCTGATAATACTTTGAAAATACATATTTCTGGGTGTTTTCATTAAATATTTTCAGGCAATGGGTAAGTAGAACAGATACCGAACCCATGGAGAGACAGCACTCACAATGTATTAATATGTTCCTTATTGATGGTAATCCACCAGTAAAAAAAGCAGTGGACAACATGTTCATTATTGAACATGACTACATGTTCATTATTTACAAAAATCCAGAATATCACAAAAAAGACTCAGAGAAACAATGTTGATTTTCTATAACAGTTTAAAAAATACTAAAAGCATTAAGATGATGAGATTATATAGCAGAAGGGAAATGAGTTATGGCACTTACAACAATAGCAAACTGCTCTGGTTCTGACAAGTTCTTATATTCACTCTTCAACTTGGACAATTCATCAAGCTGTTTTTGTTCAGGAAGATGCTTTATTAAATTCTAGAAACCAGGATAATATATGTGATTAGACATTTTATTATCTTTTCTTGACAAGGATTTCAATGCATTTTTATTTTGTATGAGCAAAATAAAAAAGTTATGATAGAAAAGCTATGAAATTCAGTTCAGCCTCATAAACTGTCCAAATAGTAAAGAAAAATGAGATATCATCACTCACTAGTGAAATATCTCAAAACTAAAAGTCATTCTGATGAATTGTAGTTTTGAGACACTTGTTCAGCAGGCAGAGGCAAAGAGGCAGTCCCAAAACCGGCAAAATCAGGGACCTGGACAGGGGACAGATTGTATTTGTCTTCAGTGTGGAAGGGATTGTCACTCTCAAATTGGCCTTCTCAGCCATACTAGATGCTGTTCCAAGACCTCTATTCAGAGCACATTACCATAGTTTCAAGAAACTGAAGGATACCTACACATTGGGAATCTTTATTTCCCAGCAACTTTTATCTCTTGTCTGGAGGTTTTTCTGTCAGAAATAGTAGCCTGTAAAGTAGAGGGGCTTTTGTGCTTTAGCTATTTAGGAATTCTACAGCAGGGGTCATCAACCCCCGGTCCGCGGCCCAGCACCGGTCCCTGGGCTTACCAGAACCGGGCCGCGGATACAGCTCTCCGCCCCCCCGCACGCATGTGCGGGGGCGTGTCGCGCTTGCGGCCGGCCCAGAACAAGGAAGTAGGTCAACTGAAGCCTTTACTAGGCTGACACCGTCCCCAGAGAGGCAACTACATCTCCCACCATGCCATGGGACAGCATGGGCTGTTGTGAGGGCAAGGAAGCAGAGACATGCTATAAAAGGGGGGGAGCGCTGTGCTGGCCACCCTATTATCACCGTGCCAAGCCTTGAGGGGCAGGTGGTGTGTCCCATCAGGTCTTGTTGCCTGCCAGAGCCGCCGCTGCGAGCCTCGCGCTCCCTCCCCTCCCTGCCTGAGGCACGGAGCTGCTGCTGCTGCTGCTTGGACACAATCCTCTCTCTTGGGGACCTCGGGCTTCGCCCTCAGCCCCAGCCTGTGCGGAGGGAGGGGAGGAGGAGGAACCAACTGACTGGCGGGCAGAGGGTAGGTGGACAGAACGGCCCTAGTCACTGAGTGGTTCGGTTGGGCTGCCTTGCAAGGGAGGGCGTGTCTTCTGAGAGGGGAGGCTAGGGGGCTTTTTATGGACAGAGAAGGGAGGCTGGAAAGAAAAGGGCGAGAGACTGTTTCACCAAAAGTAGCCAGAGGTTTGGGCACGATAGGTTCTTCCCACCGTCATGCATTTGTAGGAGAAGAATGACATTTTAATGGGGGAGGGTCTTCCTGGAAATGCCCGGCGACACACTCACCCACAAGCCTGACGCTTACTGATGATGTTGCTCGGATGGTTAGTTTCAAAGAAGGAAGGAACATCGTCTCTCTTTTAAGAGCGAAAAAGTCCTGCAAGCTGGGGAAGTTAACATTGCAAGGCGAGGTGGGCGAGAAGTTAGATTCCATTTTCCTACAATCTTCTGCTTCTCGCACTGTGTGGCACAAATTAGGCATGACTGCTGAGGGGGGGCATGTGGGAGGCGATGAAGAAGAGACAAAAGGAGCAACTTTTCGAAGTTCATGGCATCACTTCTAAACTAGTCCAAAAGCAGCAGAATGTGTCTAGCCCAGTTCCCTTCTCGCTACCAGTCACGAGTAGTAGAGTCACGTAAGATCGAGCAAGCAGGCAGGCAGCCGAGGCAAACACCGCTCAGAAACTTCATCCGTACCTCTGCTCTGTTCTTTTAAAATGCATGCACGTCCCCCATTAAAGGGCTTTGCACACCAGTTTCTCATTTAAAGACTGAGTAAACAACTGTGCTTATTTTGCCTGTATGTACATTTACGAAGGGTAAGTAAGTGGCTTTTCATCTCCAGCCAAAAACAGTTCAAACACGAGTGTGAGACACCCTTCCGTGCACCTTTGCAGTCATTGAGCTAACAAGCGCCCTCCCCCCTTATACGTCTCATTTCCTTTTCTGGACTTAGGGAGTAAAGATATGAAGAAGGTATAATTACTGTATAAAGAGCGTCTGTCAAAGTTTATGCCACAATTTTAAAAATCTATGATTTCTTAAAGTGCCCCAAGGCTCTTTTGTTGTTTCTGCTACACAAGGAATAGCGAGGCTTATGCTCTCCCCCTCCCTCCCCTGTTTCTGCTCAGCGATTTTTACATCACAGATCGTTGTTGTTTGCCTGCCTGTCTGTCTGTCTGGGGAAAGATCAGGGTTTTTAAGAGCTTCATTTAGCAAACTATGTGGAGGATTACATGGACTCAATCGAATCCCTGCCTTTCGATCTGCAGAGAAATGTCTCCCTGATGAGGGAAATTGACACCAAATACCAAGTGCTTTCTCCTTTATATTTTCGTTGCCAGAATGTATAGAAGCTATATGAGTTTGCTTTTTCTGCAGAGATGATTGCTCGTGTGTGCGTGCGTGCGTGCGTGCGTGCGTGCGTGCGTGCGTGCGTGCGTTTCCTCCTCCCTCCTCTACATCCCGAAGCGGCTGGTAGCTTTTTATTATTTATTTATGTGTGAGAAGGCAAGCAGAAAGCGAGAGGAGAGATTCGAGGAGTGGGGAAGAGGGCTGTTTTCCAAGCTATAACTTCTTTTTTTAAAAAAATATTGGGATGGAACAGAAGGTCTTCTCTGGGGTTTCAGTTTTTAAGCGAGCCCTTGGCTTTTTAGGTGTAAAATGCTGGACAAAAAGGCGGCGGCAGCAGTAGAGTAGCGAAGGGCCAGAGGAATCAGGACGGAAAAATGGTTTTCATCCTCCATGTCCTGTGGTACTCCACCTTCCTTCTAGCAAAAACAAAATATTTCATACAGCTCAGTGGTGATGGTCTCTTTACAGCACTTTAGCACTTCAACAGGAATGTTATCCTTCGACACTTGTTCAGCAGGCAGAGGCAAAGAGGCAGTCCCAAAACCGGCAAAATCAGGGACCTGGACAGGGGACAGATTGTATTTGTCTTCAGTGTGGAAGGGATTGTCACTCTCAAATTGGCCTTCTCAGCCATACTAGATGCTGTTCCAAGACCTCTATTCAGAGCACATTACCATAGTTTCAAGAAACTGAAGGATACCTACACATTGGGAATCTTTATTTCCCTGCAACTTTTATCTCTTGTCTGGAGGTTTTTCTGTCAGAAATAGTAGCCTGTAAAGTAGAGGGGCTTTTGTGCTTTAGCTATTTAGGAATTCTACAGCAAAGAAGTTCTCTAAATGGCTTACTAATCTGTATTGTTTCATTAAGCCTCCTGCTCCTCAGTAGTCTCTTTCATTGGTATTGTGTCAGCTTATGAAAGCACCCATTGAACCATTAGCCACAGCAGACCATTGGTTGTTCACTTACAAAACAGCTTTTGTTGTAGTTGCAATCTAGAAGTTCTGTGTGTTGCACCATGACTCACCATGACTCACATTTTCTGCAGTTCTACTAAGAGAAATTAACACTATTTCCAGATACAGCTTTTTACTCCCCACCATAGATGTATGTAGAGTCTTTGCGTTCTGCACCACTAAACAATTCATAAAGACTAATGGACATTTTATCTTTGATCAGGGCCAAAGAAAAGGCCACCCATTTTAATGCCAATGATGATCAAAGTGGATTGTTAATACTATTGCATTGGTGGAACAACTATTGCTAAATTCATTCTGAGAGCACTGCACAAGAGCAGTGGCAGCTTCTATGGCATTCCTCAAGGACATTTGTAGAGCAACCACATAATCACAGACACTGAAGTTCATTAAGAACTACAGCCATTCTCACGACACACCCAAGCCAACATAGACATCGCTGTTTCAGTAATGTATACATGCTAAACATTCCAATTCGTTTTAGGACTACTCTATTTGGAACCTTGTCCTGCAATCCAATCTTGGGAAGTATTTTAAAAAGGCTGTCCCTGCTAACCAAATCAACGGCCTTTGGAGATATATGAAGGCCACAAAAAGTGGCTGTTGTTCCCTACATTTCTCCTGCAACTGTCTGAGGGAAAATACCATGTCAGTGATGGATCGTTTAGCTTGAAATCCACACTGTGATTCTGAATAGACACTGTCTACAAGCACCTGGAGTAGCTTCAGCAGAACACAGGCAAGCAGCTTCCTTCAATGCTGAGAAGAGAGATGCCAAAGTAGTTATTGCAGTCACCCCTGTCTCCTTTGTTCTTGTACAATGTGCTTATGTTTCTGGAATGATTCCTTTGTGTATGCTTGCCACCTCTTCTTGATGTCTTCTGCTTCTGTTAGGTCCCTACTATTTTTGTCCTTTATCATGTCCATCTTTGCACAATAGGTTCCTTTAATATCTCCAATTTTCTTGAACAGATCTCTGGTTTTTCCTTTTCTCCTATTTTCCTCTATATCTTTGCATTGTTCATTTCAGAAGGCCCTCTTGACTCTCCTTGCTATTCTTTGGAAGTCTGCATTCAGTTTTCTGTAACTATCCCTATCTCCCTTGCATTTGGTTTCCCTTCTCTTCTCTGCTATTTGTAAGGCCTTGTTGGACAGCCACTTTGCTTTCTTGCATTTCCTTTTCTTTGGGATGGTTTTTGTTGCTGCCTCCTATACAGTGTTACGAGCCTCCATCCATAGTTCTTCAGACACTCTGTCCACCAAATCGAGTTCCTTAAATCTTTTCTTCACTTCCACTGTGTATTCATAAGGGATTTGATTTAGATTATGCCTGACTACCCCAGTGGTTTTTCCTACTTTCTTCAGTTTAAGTTTAAGTTTTGCTATAAGAAGCTGATGATCAGAGCCCCAATCAGCTCCAGGTCTTGTTTTTGCTGACGGTTTGGAGCTTTTCCATCTTTGGCTGAAGAGAGCATAATACTTAGGTTACCTACCTGTAACCATGTTTCTTCTAGTGGTCCTCTGTGAATTCACACTAATGGGTTTATCTTGCTCCTGTGCAGGACATTCGGAAGATTCTGGAGCTTAGAAAAAGAAACAATTTAGTTTTCCACCCCAAGGG